GGTGCATTCACGTCATTGCGGGTGGTCGCGCGACGCCCGGGCCGTCCTCGCCGAGCTCGTCGTCGTCGCGCCACCCTCGAAGCATTGCACAGCCATGAATTTATAATCCATCTGACCGTTAATTTAATTACACCAGCACAAATCGGTACAAGTACCCATTCATTGTATTATGCACCAAGCATCTTCAATGGTCTGTGTTTTGCCAAACACATAAGGGGCTGCATCAACCGATCTCTCACATCTGAGACCATGATGTAAGTATCATCAGCCATGTATTGATTATGGAATGCATACTTGATGCTTGTAGGACAATAGAAAGGAAATGCAAATACCTTCTCTGTTCATGGAGACGTTTTTGTAGTATATCATTGCCATATAACCATCAGATTCAACAGGGTTAGGGAAGACGTGCCTTCAAGGCTTAGTTTTGCTTTTGATATTATCCCAAATACCTAATTAGAAGATGAATTACATACAACCATCAGGTAAACATGCCAAGTAACCAAATAAACTTTGAGCCTGTCTTCTAAACTTAATGTTTCTCTAGTACCAAGCATAATGGCAACATAATTGGGATTATTCAGAGTTAAACCTACAATACTACAACAAACTCACACTGAAACATGTTTGGACAGTTCCAAACTTGCATTGCATCAGTAAATTTATGTTACCTGTGAGAGATACTCCATCTTCCTGAAGTCCCACAGCTTCAGCCCCCTGTTGTGTCGCTCGAATGCCCCTCAAGATGACCTGCTGCTCCACCTGGAAAAAGGAGAACGTATCAATCAGACTGATCTGCAGATATCAGAAAGAACACATCTTCCTGAAGGCCCTCAACACTGATGATTCAAGGGAATTTACTGTACATGTTGTGAGCTCATCTAGAATATATCAGCATGCTGGTAACTGTTCATATGTCAGCATGCATGTATAGCTACAAAAAGGGGGGGATAGACAGTAGTCCAGCACACAAAACAATTCCATTGAATCCTAAAAAAAATCCTAAAAGGGCATCAATTCCAACACTTTACCAGTTTGCAGTACCTAAGAAATGTGCTGGTTCTTTAGACTTGGTAACAAGTGACGTACCTTTTCTGAACTGAAGATATCAAAGTGATCTTAAACGGCTTGTTTGTTGAAAGTGACATACCACGCATTTCCGATTTAGTCATCCCGTGGAGTAAAAGGATGCACAGTTCACATAATGTAAATCTTGCATTAGCTATGTGAGAACTCTCAATTTTGTGTAATTGATAAATGAACGACTTAAGGAATTAGGGAAGCGAAAAGATAACTGATAAAGGAATCTTTACATTTACCATTATCCTTAGCATCAACTTTTGCAGCTACAGTGTACACTTTTTCGGGAACAACAGACACAGGTCTCTTTGCAACAACTTTCCATTAATATTTTTATAGCCTGATTTAGAAAAACAAATCATGGCCCATTAGGAATTTAAATGGCCTCCAACTGAATAGAGTACTGACCATGCATTTTCTACATCCTGCTACCACGTGAAAGATACAAAAGCAAAGCCATCTGATATATTGTTAAAGAGTAGATGTAATCAAAAGCTGTAATATCTTGCAAGTTTTATTAATCCACTTAAGGAACAAAGGATTCATTGGAACAGTGACATACCCCTCACCAGACTTATGTGGAATCGACATATCCATACAAACCCTGCTGAAGCGGAAGGATTTTGCGATTGATTTCCTTTTTTTGCCGGGATCCTCAGCGCTGGGAGGGGGAGACCACGCGAGGGAGGGAGCGCGTGCGAAGGGCGGTTTCCTTTTCTGCCGGGCCAACTATCGCACAGGGGAAGCGAGGTGAAAGCAGGCGAGGGGATCGCAGGGGAGGCAGACCAAGACAACCAAAACAAAATGTCGCACCAAAAAGTGTCCACGCTTTGTTCTTTTTAGTTGTAGGACATATCTTTTTTTTGGCTTGACATGCTCGATTTAAATATTTTGAAAGACAACATATACATGGGCCTGATAATTGTGAATAGAAATATTTCTTTTCATCTCGTGGATATCACAGATGGTGTTGAAATACCAAGGAAAAATATTTCTCATTGCCCTATAAAAACATGTAACTAAACAAGTGCTACCTGTGTCGGTAAATATAAGAGGTCTTAGCATTTGAATTTTTTTCCACAAATATAATACATTCTCTGTAATCCAAAAGAAACTGTAATTAATCCTTATCTAGAAATATAAGACTTCTTACTATTGGATTAAGTCCATTTTTGGCCCTCAAGTTTCCCTTTATTAGTCTCATTTTAACCCCAACTTTGGTACATCGAATATGAAAACCAATTAATTTTGACCCCAAAGCCAACTCAAAGCACTCAAAACTTCCTCGGGGGACAAAATCAATGCGTTTTTATAGTTGATGTGCTAAAGTTAGACACAAAGACAAGAGTCAAGGGGCCAGAGATGGACTTAGTCAAATACTTTAGGTTTTTGGATATTTAAGAAATTTTTTATATATTTAAATTTACTTATTGATAAATATTTATCTACATATTTTTTGGATTTTTATATATTGGATTTTTTAATCTGAATTGTAATTTATTTAAAATACAATCTAAAATTTTAACCGATTAATGTCCAAGTTTTGCTAGTGTCCTAAAATTTGTGTCACTACTCTGAGATCGACATTATTTGCTAGCTCCATCATCGCCGGTTTTTAAGAAACCGATAGTGATAGTGCCTCCCGACACATCCTTTATCGGTTTTTGACTAAAATCGGCAGCGATAGGACCAACCGACATCGATATTGGGTCATTCTTTGCGGTTTTAGCTAAAACTAACTCGATACTATCAATGCCGATTCATGGCTTGAACCTGCAGTGATATGCTGCAAAAAAAACAACATAACTCTCTCATATGATGGCCAACGTTCATGAATGTTTGCCTGTGCGGTCATCTATACTGTAATGCGTCGTACAGGTTTGGTTTTGAGATCTGAAGCTATTCACAACGTGGATATAATATAGATAAAAATCAGTTTTTAGATATTTGAGTAATCCAGAGTGCTTGTAACGTGTTGATGTATCCAGCTATTATCTAATATAATTCTACTTTCATTGCAAAAAAAACTCTCTCATATGATGTCCGATGATGATGAAATTTATATCAAAGTTGTAGAACACGATAAGATCTACAACTTTGTAGTTCAAACTTTTTTGACATGAGATCGTTTGGATGTCAAAATATACACCACAAGATTTTGTATAGTAAATACCAAAGGAGTCCATATGCTCCTTAGTCATCGGTGAATGTGGAGTTGTAGTCAAAACAAAAGTTGTAGATCTCAAAAAGTTATGCAACTTTGTAGTTCACAAGTTTTTTGTTTGAAGTCGTTACGATGTTCCTCTATTTGACTCGCAAGATTTCAGAGAAGTTAACACCAACTGAAGCCATATGTTACATGTCATAAGTGAGTGTGTAGTGATATTTAAGAATTTCGAATGGAGAAGCGACAAAAACAAAAGTTGTATGTCTAAAAAAGTTATGCAAATTTGTAGTTGATAATATTTTAATTTAAAATCATCTATCTAAAGAAAATTACGTTCGATTTCTCAAATTTAAAATTTTAATTTTTCAAATGATCTCGGATGGAGAAACGGCCAAAACAAAAGTTATAGATGTCAACAAGTTATGCAACTTTGTAGTTTACAACTTTTTAATTTGAAATCATCTATCCAGGGAAAATTACGGTTGAATTTTCTCACAATTGAAATTTAAATTCTTAAAATGACCTCAGATGGAGAAATGACTAAAAGCAAAGTTGTAGATCCCGAAAAGGTTATAAAACTTTATAATTGACAACTTTTTGATTGGAAATCGTTTAGGATCCCAAATTGTCATTTCAAAACCAGATTGATATAAAAATTGCGTGACTTGTGACCGTGTGGCTGTTCAGTGGGGTCTCTCCCCGTATTAAAAAAAATTCCCCTATTTTTGCAGCCTGTTTTTGAGGTTTTCTAAGAACCGACACTGATATGAACCTTCCATCACTACCGGTTTGATGGTGCCGGTTCAAAATCCGGCAATGAAGAGGGTTTCGAACCGGCGGTGAATGTCAGATCTGGGGTAGTGTATCATCCCTAATATTATACACAAAGAGTTAAACTTACTAAATTAATTAATGTTGACATGAATCTAGACCATTTGTCAAGTTGGAATGTATGGACGGCCTCACTAAAGTAGGCTAGTTATGGTGTATTTATTTTTCACATGATGCACCACGTTGTATTACGGAGTAGACAGCGCACATTGAACAATGCAACGGCCTTTTAATAAGAATTAAATTACGGCACGTCCTCTTTGCCACATTTCGGGGATCCTTATTAACATACGACAGAATGCTATGCAAAGTGTTTTTTGACATGCAAATGTTTGAGAGCCTATATAGCCACAAAGCTAACTAGCTAAGGTAGGAACGCACTGAGCAATATAGAAGTTGCACGCAGTGAGGTTGCGAATACCTGTGCACGGGTGAAAACGGTTATTCCCTCGACGTGGGGCAATGTGAGCTGACTAGATGGCGTCGCCCAGGCATCTCCTATCTCGGTCTCAACAAGGAACCTTTAAGGACACCCAAACCTAAAATAGGTAGCAAGAGACTCAAAATCAGTCTTCAATAAAGTATCTATACGGGAGACCTATTTTGGATTGCCTTAGAGGCACAAGCCAAATATAGGTATCCTCTCTCCTGAAAACTTATTTGCAGAAATGATTCTCTATTGGGTCTGGTTGTTGGAGAAGATATCGAATATGTATTGAACCTTTTGCCCGTAGTACTACCCAAAAGACAAATGGATCTTATATTTTAGGTGTTGTTGTTGAAGATAGCTATACGGCACCTCGCTCTCTCCACTCCTCTGCTCTGTTCTATTCACGCTGCACGCCTCTCTGTCTCCGTCTCTCACTCTCAATCTCTCTCTAGACTGCGTGTGAGAAACAGAGGATCAGCTCCCACCCAAAGCATGGCAGAGAAGGTGAACGATCTTTCTCTCTCAAACCCTCTCCTCCCAAAAATTGAAGCTAACATGAGTTCTGCCGCATACAACAATTCTGTGTTGGTGTTTTGATGTATCCTTTGTTTCTTCTTTGCGAATTTGTGTTTTGTTGTACCATAATTTGCGTTGGTCGCTAACCTATATATGCTGTTCTTTACAAATTGGTTGAAAGGAAAAAATGTATAGTAGTGGAGCAAGAATATATTCAAAGAGTTTCCACACACATATGTTGATCTGTACGAACAAGTCCATTCTTTATTTCACAATCTACCTAGTTCCTGTTGAAAGGCGTATCGCATACATACCTGCGTTACACGCTTTTTTATGTGTTTCTCTTTCACGTTGGCGAGAGAATAAAGCCAACATGAGTTTTTATTGCATAGTTTGTGACTAATTTGCGAGACGAATTTTTTAAGCCTAATTAGTCAATGATTTGATAATGTGATGCTACAGTAAATATGCGTTAATGATGGATTAATTAGGCTTAATAAATTCTTCTCGTGGAGTACTGACGGATTCTGTAATTTGTTTTTTTATTAGCATCCGAACAACCCATGCGACACTCTTACGTGACACCTCCTAAATTTTAGTCACCGGATCCGAACACCGCCTTATATCGTGTTTCTTTTTCTTCACCAAGAGATTATATATATTCTTCGGGGCGCCTGTCAAGACCTTATATTATAATATAATATGTTCATAGTTGCTCTCAATTGTAGTAAGGAGTATGACAAAATATAATCCGAGGCTGAATTCATTGGTATGGGAGTTACTTATTTACTTTACAAACGACGACAGATAGAAAGAAACAGAAACGGATTTGCTTACAGTAATTACGTGATAAAGATGCGCAGCGTTTGAACAATGCTTTTAATACTTTCGGAATTAATCTTATTCCGCTTTTCGCGTGCCAGCTGCAAGCAGTGATTTTCATCTGATTCCCTTTGCTGTCAAAAATAATAAGAATAATATTTACCCGGCCTGGACTAATGCTGCTGTCAACACAGATCTCCATACTAATCGTCGTGGTTGACCTTGATTGCCACAAGTGCTACCACAAGATCCGCAAGATTCTTTGCATGCTCCAAGGTAAATAAATAATAATAAATAAAAAAACTACTGCACACAACCTCGTCAATATGATCCTTCATGTTTACGAGCGATGATGAGCACCATGTCACCATGCACGATCCTTCGATTTCTCTCGTGATCTTGACAGACCATGAGAGGATCCGGACGATCTCCTTCGACAACAAGAGCAAGACGATCACCATCGTGGGGCCGTTCGACCCGCAGCGGCTCGCCTGCAAGCTCCGCTGCAAGGGCGGAAATGTGATCAAGGACCTCCACATCGTCGACACCAACGGCGGCGGCGGGAAGCGTCCTCCGGAGAAGCCGCCCAGAGCGGAGCTGGAGCTGCCGATGTCGCCCCCACCGAAGGAGATGCCGCCGATGAAGCTGATGGACATGGCCATGCCGGTGCCGCAACACCAGCCGCTGCAGCTGATGCCGGCGTGCCCGGGGCGGCCGCTGGAGCAGCCGGTGGCGGAGTACGTGATCCCAACGGTGGAGATCCCATCGTGGCCTGAGCCACCCGTGGGGCCGTGCGGGTGCCCGTGGTGCGCGCCCTGCCACCAGGGTGTGAGAGGTAGCAGATGGGGTAGCGAGAGGAGTACTCCTGGTGAAGGGCTTCATAATCCTCCCAAGTGGCGAGTTCCAATGGCAAGTTGTTCCATTTAACCAACACTTGAGACACACGAACAGCATCGCGAACCACCGAGCGAGTCTGCAATATCTTCTCTGGAGAAAGATGTAATGCAAAATCAGTTGGAAGAGTAGGTACCACCTGATGAGATGCACCCACGGCCTTCTTGAGTTGGGAGACGTGGAAAACCGGATGAAGCAATGAATGAGCAGGTAACTCCAACTTATAAGCCACAGACCCAACACGAGCTAAGATACGGAAGGGGCTGAAGAAATGAAAGGCTAACTTCTGATGAGCACGGGGAGCAAGAGAAGACTGGACATATGGTTGGAGCTTCAAGTAGACCAGCTCATCCACTTCGAACGATCATTCTGAGCGGTGAAGATCAGCGTGTTTCTTCATACGCTGCTTGGCGCGATGGAGATGATGTTTAAGGAGCTGGTCCATCCAGTCACGTCCAGAAACCCACTGAATCACTTCTTCATTAGCTGTGGAGCCCAGAGCAACAGGAAGCAAGCGAGGCGAGTAACCATATAGTGCTTCAAATGGAGTTCGTCCAGTAGCAGAGTGAGTGCAGGTGTTGTACCAAAACTCAGCAGCAGTAAGCCAAGAACTCCATTTTCTAGGACAAGCATGAACAAAGCAACGTAAATATGTCTCGAGGCACTGGTTGACTCGTTCAGTTTGCCTGTCGGACTGCGGATGATAGGCTAAGCTATGATAGAGCTTAACATCAGCCAATTTAAACAATTCAGACCAAAAGTGACTAGTGAAGATCCTGTCACGATCAGACACCAGTGACTGAGGCAAGCCGTGCAGACGATAAATAGTACTGAAGAAACTCTGCGCCACAGCAGCAGCCGTGAAGGGGTGTTTCAGTGGAATGAAGTGGCTATATTTAGTTAAGAGATCCACCACAACCATAATGCAGTTGTAGGAAGCAGATAGGGGTAAACCTTCAATGAAGTCAAGCGAAATCACTTGCCGGGCCGTGTCGAACCTTTGGGAGCGGTTGGAGAAGACAGGCAACTTGGAAGCGGTCGGGCTTGGATTGCTTGACAGACCGAAAGCAGGCTTGTACAAACTGTTGAACAACCGTCTTCATTCCTTTCCACGCTTGAAACAGCGGCGCTTGAGATGATGAAAGGTCACAGGTGCACCAGAATGGCCACCCCGAACGCGGCATGGAATTCCGACAACAGATCTTTGCTGCAGAGAAACATCATGGCCAACCCAAATGCGAGATCGATAGCGAAGGACCCCGGACTAGAGGGTGAAATTGGGCACTGCTTGGTGGATCCAAAGCCAATTTAGCAATCATAGATCGAGCCGAGGGATCACGAGCATAGCTAGCCACCACGGCGGATATCCACGATGGGACCAAAGTAGATCTTTGCCGCTTTACGCACGCCATTGGAGCTGGGTGCCGTGATGAGCATCCGTTGTCCGATTATCGAGCCGGGATGGTAAACAATGCGGTATTGAAGACCTAGGAGCTTGGAGAATACATGTTGTTGCCGATAAGTATGCAAGCGTTGGTCGACAATTTGAGTCGAGGCTCTTCGATCGGTGAGAATCACAAATTCTTGAAATTGCAAATAAGGTCGCCGAGGCTTGGGACTGCGATAAGATGGCCATGAACTCTTTCTCATAAGTAGAGAGTCCTCGAGACTTCGGCCCTAATGCCTTGCTCATAAATGCAATGGGATGGCCCTCCTGCATTAAGACAGCACCAATACCAGCCTCGGATGCATCGGTTTCAATAGCAAGCGGTTTGGAGAAGTCGAGGCAAGGACAAAAGCTGGTGGTGACAGAGAGCTTCTTTCAATGTACGAAAGGCAACCGCATGATCTTGAGTCCACACAAATAAGGATTGTTTCGAGTAATGCGGTCAAGGGCTTGGAGATAATACCAAAGTGGCGGACAAACCGGCGATAATATCTAGCTAGTCCGAGAAATGATCGAAGTTCCTTGATGTATGAGTTGACCAATTTGCAATAGCTGTCGACTTAGAAGGGTCTGTGCCCACACTGCACTAATCGATGATGTGCCCCAGATAGGAAATAGATGTACGAGCAAATACACATTTAGATAACTTCAAGTGCCACCGATCCTTAGTAAGCAACTGAAAAACAATTACGATATGTTGGAGGTGCTCCTCCAAACTCTTATCTGTATATCAAAAGGTCATCGAAAAAGACCGATTGCAAACTTCCTAAGACAAGGGTACAAAGTAGTGTTCATTGCACCTTGAAAGGTTCCAGGAGCTCTCTGTCGGGCCAAATGACATCACTCACGAACTCAAATTGGCCAAAATGTGTGCGGAAGGCGGTCTTGAATTCTTCACCCTCTTTCATGCGGATTTGATGGAACCCCACCGCAAATCCAGAGTAGTGAAATAAGAAGCACCCTTGATTCATCTAATGACTCTTCAATAATAGGCCTTTGGATACTTAGTTTTAGCAGTAATAGCATTGAGCTGTCGATAATCAATGCAAAACCACCATGTGGAATCCTTTTTCTTCACGAGTAAAACGGGAGAAGCAAAAGCACTGGAACTTGGCTGTATAATTCCCTGTTGCAGCATATCATTTACTTGTTTCTCTATTTCAGATTTAAGGATGGGAGCATATCTGTATGGCCTTACAAAAACAGGTTGGCGCTAGCAATCGGTGGTATAGTGTGGTCACAGTCCCTGCTAGGAGGTAATCCGAGTGGTGGGGTAAATAAGTGAGCAAATTCATCCAACAATGGTTGAACCACAGGACTGACAGAAGAATGCTGAGGCTGAAGAGTTTCCAGCACTATGGACAACTGCAGAACAGCACCTGATGGAAGAGCAGCCATATTACCCCAAAGATATACAGACTTATCCTGATATGGAATGCAGATCCACTGTTGACTCCAATCCACTTGCATAGGACTAAAATGGGACATCCAATCAAGGCCTAGAATCATATCATAAGAGCTCAGAGGCAACAATTTCAAATCGGTGGTGAAGGAATAGCCACGACCGACCAACTAGCAAAGCAGGAATGTGGGAATCTGGCTGAAAGCCTTTGCCCCATTAGCGACTGACGAACGTTATCAGGAGAGATAATTTGGACACCGAGAGGGAACCAGCCAAAGCCGACCCGACAAATGAATGAGAACTACGAATCCGATAAAATAGACAATGGATTGCCTTGTATATCACCAGATAAACAGAAGGTCTTGGGGGAATGAGCACCCGCGACAGTAGCAACAGAAAGATGCATCATAATTTGAGCAGCAACAGGAGAAGTAGGACCTGAATCATCAGCAGGAATGTCGTCTTCAGGAAAAATGTCCAGGAGCTCTTGGACGAGATGGAGTTGAACTGCCTCAGAGCAGCGATGGTTGCGACTCCATTTGGCCCCACGGCGAAAACATAAGCCCTGGGCATGGCATGCAGCACGCAGGGACTAAAACTTCTCATCAGTAGTGGAAGAGGAAACGGGCCCGGTAGCGTTTTCCATCCCAAGACATCGATCTGGGGTGGTGGAATAGGAAGTGGTACTCCACCATGCCACGCCGGCTTCTGGGTAGGCACCGCATCAGAATGCCTGAATACCCTCTTGGAGACACCCAGCGCCTCTTCCTGCAATTCAGCCAAAACGCAGGCAGCATCGAGAGTAGACGTCTTGTGGACAAGCAAAATAGCTTTAATATCATCACGTAGTCCATCAATGAATCGTTGAACATAGTATAGTGGGTTTGGGTGTTTAGCATAGGCTTTAAGTTCATCTACCAAACTGACGAACTGCTCAATATAATCGGCGACTGAACCATTCTGACGAATGCGGAACATACGACACAAAAGCAATTCATGCTCATCGCGTCCAAAACGAGAGAGCAACTGAGCACAAAACATATCCCACTCTATGGACTCAAGGTCATCTTCAATTGAAGAGAGCCAACGCTTGGCGGGGCCATGAAAATGCATAGTGGCAGCCGACACCCAGACAACAGACTCAACACGGTATAGGCGGAAATAGTGTATGGCTTGCTTAATCCACAGCTTCGGATGTTCCCCTTCGAACCTAGGAAAATCAAACTTAGGAAGTTTGCCTGTGTGATCCCCCCTAGATCCTCCCTAGTACCCGGACTCAAAATGGTGACTCGGTGGAGGGTGGGGTGGATGGGCCATCGGTAAAGGCAAAGGGAAAGGGGAGTGGCCAGACGACATACCCTTGGCATGTGGTGGCAATAGAGTGGTGACCACTCCGAAGCCAGCCTGGTTGACGCGGTGCCCGTTGGGCGGGTTGGCTGCATATCCCGCGGATGGGCGCGGGGCAGCCTCGAAGCCACCATGCGGAACAAGAGTGTTCGGCGGCGAGTCGGCAGCTCCGGCTTGTAGTTCGGTGATGGAGGAGCCATGCGAACGTCGGGGACGGCGGTGAAGACTTGAGCGCAAAGCGAACGCATGGGGTTGTTGGCGAAGACGGGCCTTTTCGGGCGAGGCGGCGGACGAGGACTTGGCGGCGAGCACGGACGGCATGGATCCATGAAGACCAGGAGTAGTGCTCGGGCCATCCACCATGGATCTCTCCATGAACTTGGAGATCTTCCTGACCTCCAGCTTGAGGGACGTCAGGCGGTTCACCTCGACCCACAAATCGTCGATGAGGCCGTCAACTCCCGGGCGCCATTCGTCGAACACCTTCGTTATGCGTTCTCCGGTAGCGCCGAGGCGAGTCGATGAAGAACTTCGCGATACCGTCGAACTTCTTCTCCGTGTCGTCAAGCGGCGTGTCGATCTTTGTCGAAGCATGTGCCAAAGCGGCGATCCATCTCATCGAGCAACAGCTTTCGAGTGGGGTCCATCACGCGAACTTCTTACGGCGACGGGTGAAATGGTCGTGAGATGCGGCGGACGGGGATCCAGATCGGCGATTCACACCACAAGTCACGACTCCGGGATCGGAATTATGGAATCCCGGCTCAAGCTGCAGATCCTGAGCTCGAATCGGGGTTAGACCGACCAAAATCATTGGAGTACGAGCAAGCTGATGTG